AGAGGACTACTAATTATAACGTGCCCCTCATCCCCCCATACGTCAGCCGTAGATGGGCCACCCATACACACACTGGCCCCACATACACAAAAAATTTAGTAGAACACACATACAACACCATCAAGCAGAAATATCACCGTAACTACAAAATGCACACACATACCGGCCTTAGTTCGGCCAGGCACACAACTTGCCATTAGCATCTGTAAAGGCCTATAACTTAAAAGAAATAAATTTATATTTTAAATGCAGAAGCAAACAATAATGTTAGAATTTTTATTCCTTATACAGTAAATTAAAATACCCAATAGGGTTATGAGAATATCCATTCTATAGTGGTTCGTAAAAAAAAAAAGAATAAATAATTAAAATAAATATCCTAGGGGTTAACCTCCACTAGCACTTGATGGAGTCCGAAAGATAATCTACTCACAACCCTCTTGCTGATCAGGATATGGATCTTATTTTTTTGATATGAAATAATTAATAGAAAGATAAGCTACACTAGTTCAGTAAGAATATCACGCTAACCACCGATATGAAAAATCGAAGGTTGGTAAAAATAATAAAATAACTAATGGAGCCATTTATTTAAGTAAATTTATTTAACATAAAGAAAACCGTTTATTTCATACTTAACATTACGAGTTTTCCAAAATCAACCTATATAGACAAATACTCAGATAACATTATGATTTCATGTATACTGAACAAGATTAGCAATTCTCTTTTCAACCTGCTTACTGGAACCTTTAGGAGTCCATAAGGATATTCTCCTACTCGTGAACCCAATATCTAGATTTTTCAGTTAACCCGGCCGTCCCCATACCTCGTTCGATAATGGGCACAAAACACACCATCGCCTTGATATCCTGTTTGGTATGAGGGTGAACTATGTCTCCCAAACCCTTCCGATATGGGATTTATCAGCCCTGTCCGCCTGAAGTAATGTCTACAGTAGAGTTTCCTATATACCAAGGTCGTCCATCATTTTTCAGGGTACCTAGTAAGACTTTCATACATATATCTATATTATCAATCAATCATTAATTTTATACTAACATTTTGTATTCACAAATCAACAGTAGATTATGTAAACAGGCGATATGTACATTAAAAACATAATTGAGATATTTTATTTCAAAAGAGACCAACACGGGAATATGTGGTGAGGTAAACCAAACAACCGAGAAAATAATCAAAACCATCAATTAAATATGCACAATATAATAGTAAGTAATTTAAGTAGTATAGGAAAATAAATAATGAATCAAGGCAAATATGAACTGATCGGTTCCAGCTCCACTAGTAACCTGTAATTATTTCTAAAGTTTTTTTAATTTTTTACAAAACATAAAATATTCGATTATTAAACCTCAATTTACCGTAACAAGGAATAGAGTGAGGGATTTTTATCCAGATTGGTGTTTTGAAAGGCTATGTTATCTACTACACCTTCTGACGATTCCTGGGTTTCTTAAATTTTTTCTGCGAAAATTAAAATATTTGTCATGTACCCAAAAATTTCAAAAAGCCAAAATCGGTGTTAAGAAAACCTTTCCAATAAATTTTAGGGTTCGGCACGGTGCCGCCACCGTACTCCAGCACCAGCTCCGTCGCTGTACTCCGGCGCCGGCTCCGCCGCCCATGGCGGTGATTCGCCTCGGCTTGACTTGTTTGACTAGTTTTTGCCTTTTTTGGCCGGGTTTACACGTATCTCTGCGAAAAAAATATGTTAGAAAGCCTCAGTTCGCCGAAAAAATAAAAAAACTGAAAGCTATCAGGTGTGATGGCTCCGTAGGTCCTCCTTCGTGGTTGGGGTTCTTCTTCTGCTGACTTGCACAAGAAAGAGATAGCGAACATTATGGTCAAAGAATCACGTAAAACAGGAAACAAAAAAAGGGTCACCAGAGAGGGTTTTGGGTTTTGGCCGCCACGGCTTGACCAAGTTTTACTTGCAGTATTCGACTCACCCACTGTCCTTTTTACTCTTATATGGCCACAGGGAGGCTCGGAATTAAATTCTGAGCGGGAAGAGAAAATTTTTTATCATTTTTTATGGTTGGCGGTGGCTCCGGTGCAGCAGCAGCAGTAATCGGCCTATTTTTCTAGCGTCTAGTTCTTCTTCTCTAGCGAGGGCTGGTGCGGCTAGGGTTAGGGTTTCCTGAAACGCGATGCTTAAATACCCTTTCCGTATCGATCTAGGCCTTCTGATCGAGAATACGTGACATTCTCTCCTCCATTGAATTTATCGTATTAAGAGAATGAATCTGGGCTGCACGATCAGATTGAATCTGACCGTTCAATTACGTCTAAAGAGGGATGCATTTAGACCATTCACGCGCACGCGGGATAAGATCTAGATTGTCATATCACCATGCATGCGGATTGCTCGCGTGGCCTCCTGTGTGGTGCTGATGTCAGCAAGGTTGCCACGTGGTGTGCTCTCCAAACTTCTCCTTTTTGCAATTTAACTTCTTGTTTTCAATTTTCTTTTAAGAACACATCCCATATTCAAAATTTCACCACTTTTTCTCAAAATTATTTTCAATTTCATCCCTAATTCATTTTTTCTCAAAAATTTAATAAAATTTAAATTAAAATAAAATAAATTAAATATTTATAAATTTTTTCATAAATGAAAAATTTATCTTGGACTGATTTTTAGGCTTGAGTACTACAATTCTCCCCTTCCTTAAGAAAAAAATTGGACCCTCAAAATTTTTATCCTCTCACTTAGTCGAAAAGTTAGGGGTACTAGGTTCTGAAGTCTGATTCTAGTTCCCAAGTGGCCTATTCCTGTATATGATTCTGTCACAGGACCTTGACAAGGGGAATTTCTCTATTGTGAAGTACTATGCTCTTTCAATCTACAATGCCTACCAGTACCTCCTAATAGAATAGATAATCCTGGAGTGAAAGAGACTCATGAGACAAGATATGTAAGGGGTCCGGGTTGTACTTGCGTAGCATGGACATATGAAAGACATTATGAACTCTAGATAGCTCTAAACCTAATGCTAGTTTGTAGGTGGACGTACCAATCATGTCTAAAATTTTAAACGGTCCAATGAACCAGGGATTTAATTTCTCCCTCATGTCAAACCTGTTGATTCCCTTGAAAGGGGTAACCTTAAGAAACACTCGATCATTTTTCTCAAATTTCAAATCCCTCATCTGGGTGTTGATATAACTCTTTGGCCTGCTCTGAGTTGTCTAGATGTTATTTTCGATCT